TCAGGGATGCTTCCAGATTTTGATAGCGGATCAACACTAGCTGCAGGAACTTTTAAGAAAAGTCTAGAATTTAGAGTAAGTTTCGATAAACTAAATAATGTTTCAATAACTTCTGCTAAAATTCTAAAACCCGGAAATTTCAGGAAAGTCCAGCGAACTGCAGTGAACTTAAGGAAACACCATAAATATTTTGGATACTTCACAAGTCCAAAGAACTTCTGAAAAATTTAATGGTCTTCAGGACAGTTTAGTTTCAGGAGAATTGAGAAAACTTTAGACAGCTCCGAGAACATCAGGACAGATCAATAAATTTCAAGGAAATCGCTGAAATTTTAAAGGAGTTTCGAGTAACTCAGGCAATTTCCGAAAACTTCGGCAATGTTCCGAGGGGCTCATGCAAATTTAAGAAACGTAAGGGAAGTTACATGAACATTAGCACACTTTGAGAACATTTTATGGGAAGTTCCGTGCTTATTAAGGGCAGTGTCAGATCAGAGAACTTCAATGCTGATGTTACAATAAATTCAAGAAAATTGTGAGAGCGCTTAAGAAATCTCCTAATCTTCAAGGAAGTCTAGAGACCTTCAAAGTTAATTAGAGTTATTCCGTTAATTAAATTAACTTAAGGAAAATTATGTTTTTTCCGACTTCGGAAAATGAAATCTGTATTAGGGAAAACACATCAATCACAGAAACTGAGCAACCCGGAAGGTACCTACGCTTATGCTCATGCTCAGTGCTCGGCGACTGTGTTAAGGAAACCCCTTTTTCTCGGAAACGACTCGTTTACCGATGACAAAATTTTCGTGCGCAAAACGCACGGAATGTTTGGTTTATTCAATAGATAATAAAAAAGCGAAAATTGATTGGAGGAGTTTCTTGCCATTTTTTTTGACGTAGGACTACGTCTGTGATTTCTATATGGGGGTACACTTTGTGAAATCCGAAAATGGAACATGTAACAAAATTATGAAAGATTTTGAACGTTAATAACTCAGCTACCCCTGGACCAATTTCAATAATTTTATCACCAATCGATCAGAAATATTTCTACCCATCTGTTGAATTTTAAACTTTATCATTTTTCAAAATGTCAGTATTGAAAAAGGCAAGGATTTGCAACTGTTGCTATGATAGTAAACATTATCACCGATTGACTGCGAAAAGCGATTTCCCTAACACAGATTTCAAAGTTGAATTGCATCCGGTCTCACCAAACGTTGTTTATTCAATCACCGCGTGATGAGTGGTGATGTTCTCCAGTATACAACGAAAGGCTCCCCGCAAGCAGCTCGCTATCAAGGCTACAATCAACCGCTCCAGTACACAACGAAAGCCTGCAAGCAGTGAGCTGCAGCCCACATCAGCATCCATAGAAGGTGGAAGCAGCCGCACCGCTATTGATCGGAATCAGTAGCTCTTCGTGAGTCACTGTGGGCCAATTATTGAATAAGCACCGTTCGGCTAGACCGGATGGAATTCGATTTTTAAATCTATATATGGGAAAGCGGTTTTTGCAAGCCAACAGTTTGCAACAGTTGGACACTTGTGTAATTTTAAATAGTGACCTATTGAAAATTGATAAGGTGTTAATTTTAGATTCATAGATACATTTCCAGTCAATTGGCTTGTTTAGAAATAAAATCCATCCGCTATTGACAGAGTTATATGTGGTCAAAACCTGACCACTTTTCGCAACGCGGTAAATTTTGGCTTTTTTGCATCGTCTGCATGGCCAACCTATATCATTCTCTGCAGTATTCGCTGCGGAGGATGATAGGAAATGCAACTAACAATGAATGTAATAAACACCAATAGTTGATTGAGCATAATCACAAAAAATCAGTGAATTAAATCATTAATAACTTTTGATTTTACATTTTATCGAACAGTGGTCTTGAGCAAACTTCTATCTGAGAAAATTTCCTACAAGCACAGCTATCGTTTTTCAAAACAGAGAAATATGAGGAATCGCTATTTAAAAACGAATTGGTTTTTTTTTGTGCCAAGTCAGTTTCATTTTGGGAAGTTAATCAGGACCCGATTTGGAACCATTTGAGCACTGTGGACGGAATTTCGCATCAGTCTAGTGGGCAGTGTGCTTGATATGTGGTTTTTGATTTAAGAAAAATTAATCGAATTGCCATGAGAAAATTACAGCAGCAATAATTTTATAATGTTTTGCATTATTATCAATACATTAATTTGTAAAAACAAATTTGCCCTTCGAGCCATGCAATTTGCATAGAATGACAATTACTTCGATGATTAATTCGGTGGGTTTCAAATATATAACGTTTTAAATTAATCACGTGAAAAACACTTTTGACCGTGATAAAACCGAAACATTACTCGGCAAAGTTGTTCAGGAGATCATAACCTTTTCTCTAGTGGACAGAAGTTCAGATTTATATCACTACGTAGCGCTGGTATGCATGTGAAATTCTCGCAAATAATGTATATCTCGAGATCCTGACCAGATAGAAAGTTACTGTCTTCGACAAAGTTCTTCAGGAGGTCAAAGCCTAATGCTTGATGAACAAGAGTTCACAATTTTCTCACTACGCGACGCTAGTATGCACGTGAAATTCTCACATATAAAATATCTCGAGACCCTGACTAGATAGAAGGCTACTGTCTTCGGCAAAGTTGTTCAGGCCTTTCAGCTGGTGGACAGTAGTTCAGAATTTGTTTCCCTTCATAGCACTAGTAAACACGTGCAAAGTTGTCCTGGAGATCAAAATCAGAACAGAATTTTCTCACTACGCGGCGCTAGGATACACGTGAACCCTCGCATACATAATATCTCGAGATCCTGAGCAGCTACAAGGTTACTGTATATGGCAAAGCTGTTAAGGAGATGAAGACCTTTTGGTTGGTAAACAGTAGTTCAGAATCTTTTCGGTATGCGGCGCTAGTATGCTTATAAAATATGTGTTTGAGGTCTTCACCATACAAGAAGTTGCTGTTGTTGCCAGAAAAGCAAATGAAGAGAAAGGACAACTGACAACTTCCAGAATAAGTTACATGGGCCTGCCCCAAGGCTCATGTCTCAGCCCTCTTCTTTATAACTTTTATGTCAAAGATATCGACAACTGTTTGGCAGAAAAATGCACGCTAAGACAACTTGCAGATGACGGTGTGGTTTCCGTAAGAGGTCCACATGCCGTGGATTTGCAAGGAACCATTGCAAATTTCCTTAGATAACTTGTCTTCTTGTGCTACGAATCTAGGAATCGAATTCTCGCCGCAGAAAACTGAACTGGTAGTGTTTACTCGAAAGCGGTACCCAGCCCAAATGCAGCTGAATCTTTTGGGCAGAAACATCATTATCTTTCAAGTACCTTGGGGTCTTGTTTGATTCAAAGTGCACTTGGAATACCCATATTACGTATTTGAAGCAAAAATTTCAATTCAATTTGCGGCACATGGTGGGGTTCTCATCCGGGAGACCTCATAACGCTTTATAAAACAATTATTCTCTCTGTTCTAGTGTACGGCTCTTTCTGCTTGCCCTCGGCAAGAAAATGTCACCTAATAAAATTGGAACGAATTCAATATCGTTGTCCGCGTATTGCTCTCGGCTGTATGCACTCAACGCTTAACATGATTCTAGAGGTTCTGGCAGGAGTAATACCTCTCCAGAACAGTTTCTGGGAGCTCTCTCTCTCAGAATACTAATCAAATGCGGAGTGACGAACACATTTATAATTGTAAATTTTGAAGAAATTCTTAATCTGAACACAACAATCTCGATTTATGAGAATCTATCACCACTACATATCCTCGGATATGGGTCTTCCTTGTTATACTCCAGACCGTGCTCACTTCACCAATTGCAGTTCCTCAATTGAATATGATCTGACCATGAAACAAGCAACTCATGGGATTCCCGATCAAATTTCACACGATGAATTTTATTATTTAGTGCGTCAGAGTACCCTTTCGAGTTGGCAAACCGATTGGGACACTGGGAATCTTGGACGGTGGTTACATTCAATTATTCCTAATGTTTCTTCGAGAGCGTGGTTCAAAGGCTTGGGCTTAAGTCGTGACTTCATTCGCGTGATGAGTAGACTTATGTCCAAGCACTACTCGCTAGATACGCATCTCCATAGAATAAACCTCGTGGACAGCAACATCTGTCGGTGTGGAAACGGTTACGATGACATCGATCACGCAGTTTGGCAATGTACGGATAATGACGCCGCCAGAGAGCGACTTTTGAATGCCCTCGAGGCCCAAGGAAGACAACCCTATGTTCCTATCAGAGACGTGCTGGCAACCCGCGATCTCTGCTATATGCAGTCGGTTTATGTGTTTCTACAAATGTCTAGTGTAAGAATTTAATTCCTTTATCTTTTGTCTCTCTTTATTAGTTTTTGTTTGTGTTGTCCCACCGCCACGATGAGTGACATTGTCGCCCACTGGTCACCAAATACCCGGTCGAACTCCAGACGAAGCTAGAATCGCACTACCGTTCCACCCCCAAGGTCCTCCCCTGATCCTATCCTTCAATAATGTACCCCTCTAACCTGGGGTATTCGGCCCAAGTCCTACTAGACATAGATATAAGCGAATTTTGTCAAAAACAATGAACAATGAATTATTGGCTCCGTAAAGCTAACGCGATTGAGCTTTCCAAATAAACGAACAAGATAAATTCTTTCGCTTTGCCCTTTAACAAATTTACCGAAGACAGTGATTTTCTCGTTGTTGGGGATCTCGACTCGAAAGTTCAGGGTTGTACTTAAGAGCAAAACCAAAAATGTCATTTGTTCAGAACGCCAAAATAAGCGTTTTGACAAAGTTTGGTTCATATTGGTGACATCGACCACAGGTGGTGTATACAGGGTGAAAGTTAATTAATGTAAGCAATTGTAGTATCAAATGGGTTTGTCACATACATGTCAGCATATTTTTCTTTAGTCAGGACTACGGAAGTTATCAAACGAGTGAGAGAGCGAATTCAGCGGAATCCTTGTAAGTCTGGCCGTAAGATGGCCAAAGAACTCGGAATGTCGCAGCCAACGATCAGGAGTATTTTGAAAGATGATCTCGGATTGAATGCTAACAAAAAACAGCGGGTGCATGGTTTGACCGGAAAGCAAAAGATAGCTAGAGTCGAAAGATGTCGGAAACTGCTCAAACGGCACGGTGATTGTGAAATTCTGTTCCTGCTACAGGATCACCACAACCAGAAAAATGATCGGGTATATGCTGCATATCTTGCTGATATACCTCGTGACAAACTGGCTGTTCAATGGTTCCAGCATGTTTCTAGGGTGATGGTTTGGGGATGTTTCTCGAAAACATTGGAAGTTCCATTGCTGTTCATTGAACCTGGTGTTAAAATCAACAGTAAATATTACATCGATAATGTTTTGAAGAACCACTTGCTTCCCTTCGTCCAAAAACATTATAAGAATGCACCATACTGCTTCCAACAAGACTCTGCACCGTCCCATCAGGCAAAAGATACACAGGCTTGGTGTGAGGTCAATTTCCCGGATTTCATTTCGTCGAAAGAGTGGCCTGCCTCCTCATCCGATTTGAATCCTCTCGACTTCTTCGCATGGGGATACTTATTATTCGAACTAGGAAATACCAAGGGACTAACCGTGGAAACTTTGAAGCAACGTTGGTGAAAATATGGGACGAAATTCCTCAAGATATCGTGCGTGCCAGCTGTAACGATTTTCAAAAACGGATGCGGCTCGTAATTAAAGGAAAGGGAGAAAGATTTGAATACACGAAACAGGAAATACACTGAAAATTAAATTTCACATCATCTCTTCATTTTTATGACCATATACTTTACTGACAGGAATTACCTTTCACCCTGTACACCTGAACTGGAATGACCCATATGTATACTAGCGCCACGTAGTGGGAACATTCTGAAGGTATACCTCGATATAACGTAACTGTCACTTTTGACTTCCATCGCCGATTGCTCGCAAACGATAATTCAAACAAGCAAAGTAAGAACACCATCTGACAGATGAGATAATCCCCCATCTGTTCGTAATATTAATTTGTATGATTCAATTGTTATCAGGGAGATATTCACGATAGAAGCCCAAAGTGACAGTTAAGTTATATCGAAGTATACCTGAATTATCTTCTGAACAACTTTGCCGAAGACATTTACTTTCTATATCCCATGTTGTAACCAATTAAGTCAAATCCTACGTAGTATGGACACTAGACTGAGGCAAAATTTGAAATTTTCGCTCCACAGTGCTCAAACGGTTCCAAATTGGGTCCTGATTATCCTCCCAAAATTCCAGCCGACATAATTTCCCGTGGAATGATCCCACCGCAGCTACAATATGAATCGCTTTGGTTCAACGGTCCACATTGGCTAAAGTTGGACGAGCACAACTGGCCATCTGCTCATCAGATAGATGTAGAAGACTTCGACCTCTTGGATCTCGAAGCCAAGAGCATGGCGACAGCACTTCCAGTGGTAACTCCAAGCGATATCTTCAGCCTCAGATCATCGTATACACATCTCATACGACTGACTGCTTGGCTTCACAGATTCCGCTACAATTCGCAACCGGTGAACCGTGACAATCAACGGTGTGGTCCTCTCACAACGCTCGAACTGGAAGATGCTTTGCATGCGTTGGTCAAGCTCTCCCAACAAGAAAGCTTCTCGCTGGAGTTAGCTGATTTGACAAACGGTAGAGAAGTTCGAGAGTCGTCGAAGATTTCGTCACTACACCCGGAGCTCAAAGATGGAATACTCTGCGTTGGCGGCCGACTTCGCCACGCATCGATTGCGACCCGTCGCAAGCACCCGTATATCCTGGATCACCGTCATCCATTTACGTACATGGTCGTCGTTCACTACCATCGAAAGATGTTGCATGGTGGACAACAGCTCATGGTTTCGTCCGTTAGAGAGCGGTTCTGGCCAACAAACGCCCGGAACCTAGTGCGAAAGGTCATCCACGAGTGTGTACCATGTTTCAGAGTGAAGCCCAAGATTCAGGACCAGCTCATGGCGGATCTTCCCCCCGAAAGAGTCACCCCGTGTCCACCATTCCAGCGCGTAGGTGTGAATTACTGTGGCCCGTTCCAAGTGTCGTATCCGTACCGGCGCAATCGCCCGGTGAAAATCTTCATTGCTGTCTACGTCTGTCTAGTAACCAAGGCCGTTCACCTGGAACTAGCGTCAGACCTGTCCGCTCAGGGATTTATTGCAACCCTGAAGCGTTTCTCTTCCCGGCGAGGCAAGCCGGAGATCATAATGTGCGACAACGGAAGAAACTTCGTAGGTGCGAGACGACAGTTGGACGAATTACGTCGCCTGTTCAACAACCAGCAGTTCCAGGCATCCGTCGTCAGAAGTTCAGCTGAAGACCAGATTCAGTTCCGGTTTATTCCAGCGCGTTCTCCAAACTTCGGTGGACTGTGGGAATTGGCAGTCAAATCGTTCAAGCTGCTCCTCAAACGAACGATTGGCGTACACACTCCACTCTCCTGTACGACGAGATGCAGACGATCCTGACTCAAGTGGAAGCAGTATTGAACTCGCGACCACTCGGCCGCTCAGTAACGACCCGGACAACTACGAAGCGTTGACTCCCGGTCATTTCCTGATTCAGCGGCCTCTTACGGCAATACCAGAACCCGATCTGGATGGGATTCCTGAAAATCGTCTGTCAGCCTGGCAGAAAGCGCAGCGGTTCACGCAGCAACTGTGGAAGAAATGGTCGCATCTGTACTTGTCAGACCTCCACAATCGGACGAAGTGGACAGTAAGAAGGAACAACATAGTTGTTGGTACTATGGTTGTACTGAAGGAGGAGAATCAGCCGCCACTGAAGTGGCTACTGGGGCGTGTGACAGAGGTCCACGCAGGTCGTGATGGGAATGTTCGAGTCGTGACCGTCAAAACAACGGACGGTAGTTACCGCAGAGCAATCTCAAAGATTTGCGTACTACCGATTCGAGATAACGTCAATGCACATAACGGGGAGAACTAGGACTCCTCCAACGGCGGAGGTCGAAAGGCCTCCGCACACCAGTTAAGTTAATCGCATATTGTATTTTTCGTAAAAATAACCCCGCTCATTTTTCCCAGTCACGATTCGGCCTTTGTTTCGGTCTCCCGAAACAGTCTCAGCCGATAGTAAATCGAGCCAATCAATCCCTGTCAGTCGAGGTCTGTATAGTTTCGGTGGTGGTCAATTGCAACTGCATCTGCATCGCCCAGAGGGAGAAGTGCGCACTTCGTCCTCGTTGCACTACCAGTGGATGTCAGCAAGCATGGCCAGTTTGCACAGCGTTCACATCGAGTAGCAGCAGCACCGTTAATGCATCGGCAGATCCCAAGTCAACGTAGAAACAACCGAATCGTCAGTACGGGCAGTTTCACCGGTGCCAACAGGCACCCGCGGAGGCCACGGAGGCCTCCGTTCCAGGCAAGTCGTATTATGGTAATAAAAGTAAAAAAGCACCCTCTCATCTTTTTCAGCGACTTGGCCTGCATGTGCAGTCTGCACCACCATCGACATACATCGAAGCATTCCATCATTTCCGACGATAATTGCTCGTCCCAATTCCATGTCCGTTCCGTCACAAGTCCACGTCCGATGGCATCCAGTCCACCAGCGTAGTCTGGTCGAGTCCGTCTGCAAATCGTCCGACATCGACATCAGAACCAGTCCAAAACATGCAGCATCAAACATCGAATGTGAACCTGGAAAGAAATCAGCAATCATTCGAATCGATGGAAACCGTCCCGAATGTCATCAGTCAGAAATCGTTGAAACCGGACAGAATGGAAGTACCAGCCTACGGACAACTCCTGCTCCTGTACTGTCATCACATCAAGCAGTTTGCCAGGTATGTTGGTCCGGTTTTACTACTTTCTACTCCTGGATACTCCATTTTCGTTCCCACCATTCCGAGGTACACTACACCTAACTGCAACGATCGACAACGACATAACGGCGGAAATCCAGTGGTTTCTACAAAACAACAACAGCAGCAAGCGAAAAGAAGAGAAGATCGATTGTTTTGTGTTTATTTGTATGTAGTTGTTAGATGTTAATGTTTGTTAATGTTAGAGTAAGATAGAAGATTAAAATTGGGTATTTCAAGGCGGACGGCATATGTTAGAGCGAGAAGATAAAAGTATCGATGACACAGTTTCACATGTGCATCCCTAGATAGTTTGTATTGATCAGTTCACGAAGATTTGCCGCACTCTTCTCTCACCCGTAAGTTTTGACAGTTTTGGGTGGTTTGTTTTGGCTCCCATTCGTTGCTATCTCTTTTACTCAGAAGCAAAATGATAGGGAGCAAAAAGTGAGGTTAGGGACCGTGCACTGATCTATATGAGAGAGAATCTCTTCCGCCGGGTCGCTCTTGATTCCTATGTACACACAGCTGACGACCGATCGCTACCGATTAGGTCAGCTGTGTGGCACATAGGTACATAAAAATATCAGTTACAATAAACCGTCGCGGAGGAAACATCTCCTTAGTATTTTCGTCCAGTAATAAATGTACTTTTGTGTTCGCGTAATAAAATGTATTTTTGTTGTTTAAAACCGCGAGTTCTTTTATGTGTGTCCGAAAGATTTTCCGCGACGGGCGCGAACAAACTCCTTTAGTAAGAACCTGACTTCCCAAGTAACAATTTCGGTTTTATAAGGGTTCTGTACACCATCATTTAGACTTGTAGAATGCTTTAAAACCTCAATAAAACTTGCAATGTTACTTGGGTTGGCACAAACCATTTGAAGTTTATATGGAAATTGCCAAGGGGAAACCATAATTTCGGTTCATATCTATCTCAAAATTCACCAGTTCACTCTACTTTAGAAAATGATAGCTGAGCTTGTTGAAAATTTTCTCAGCTACAACTTTGTTCAAGGCAACATTGGTGTTTATGGCGCGTAGAATAGACGACAAAAATCATGGCTACTATGTCACACTGCAGAATACAGTGTTGCCCACAATACAGTTGCTTAATCTTACCATAAGATTATCAATCTCTTAAACAATTAATAAGTATTTAATTTGACGTTTGGCTGAAAAACAATTTTCTGCAAAGTTGTAGCTGATAAAAATTCCCATAAGAATAACAATAGAACTTGTTAACAGTACAATATGGAAAAAGGCTAGAAGATAATGAACAAAAAGTTTGGTTTTCCCATAGTAATTCCCATATAAACTTCAAATGGTTTGTACCAAGTCAGTTTCTTATCAAATGAGTTTAAACTTTCGGAGGCTTATCAGGACCTTATTTGAAACCGTTTGAACACTGTGGAGCGAAAATTTCAAATTTTGCATTAGTCTAATGGACATCGTTTACACGGTTTCCATTTACAGTTTTCCTGTTCGCCGCATTTTTTGGGGGTTCACTGTAGTCAAAGTTTAATTTGTTGACCGTGATAAAACCGAAACATTACTGTATCGGGTACCGAGAATTCTCATAGTTATAATAGTTCCCAATACAGCTAGAATACTTTCAGAGCAGCAGGAGGTTTCTCATGAGGCAACTAGACGAGAAAATGTCGGTATCTCCTGAGCTTCAAAAACTTCGGAAAATCAGCAAATTTGAAAGCTCCTGAAACTTTTTCAGGATTCTTGGAGCTCCATAAACATTCAGTAAATCCTCCTAAGTTGTGTACATTCAGGTTACATTGCATGTTCTACTGAGGTTTCAAAGCATTCTACAAGCCTATATCATGGTCTACAAAACCCTCATAAAACCAAAATTTATACCTGGGTATATTTTGATGTTCTCATAATGTGTCATCCGCCACATTAAACTGGCAAAAATCACGTCCTCAAATATGTTCGAATACCATTCTAATGCATGTGATTTTATAAAAATCACGGATCCAATTGAAATCACATTTCCAACCAATATTGACCAACCCATTACGGTAATCTCCGCCAAACTGCTGTTGACCTTCGCAATACTGCAACCCATTTCCTGCCAGCCAACCATCCATCCATCCAAACACTGCTCGTTAAACCTTCTTTCGTTTCGAATTTCATCCCCCTTAATTGACGTTGCGCAATGCCTCAGATGCTTTCTTTCTGCACTTATTAAAACCCCCTCGGTTGCCTTCTTCCAGCTGTTTTTCCCCTGCCAACCCACCCCATCCAGCAGTTGGGTAAATAAACTGAAAACGCAAATCCGCAAACGCAGCACCGAACCCGATTCTCGATTCGATCCCATCACTTGGTCGTCGAGATTATTTGTCTAGTTCGCGAAAAAAAAAATCCAGATCCAATTCCAGCAAATCATGCACGCTCTCTGATGGTGGACGACGAGATCATTGACTTGACCGCCACCTTCACGAATTGCCTGTTACCTCTCCTAGGTACCTTCCTAGTCCCAAAATCGCGCTCGCGAAAGTTGGAACGGGCAAAAGAGAAACGCTCGCGACTTGCTTCTAACGTCCATTTAAAAATGGCAAAGTTCTTTAATAGTACACAGAGGCCATCAGCATAGGGGAAAAAAAAAGAAAACAGTTTGCAGAAATTTAAATGCTTTCCATCATCGTTTTTTTTTGCGCTGCTTGAATTTGCACAAACACCGTATTTGATGGACCCCATTAGGTGAAATTCCCACAATCGCTTCTTGCGACCAGCTGAAACTCTGAAGTGGGTTTCAAGATTTTTTGTTTTCGGTGGTTTCCAGTGTGTGTGTGTATTTATGAATATTTTCTTATTTGGTTGATTTTCTATGTGAGGTCAAATTAAAAAAAAAAAGTCGGTCTGTGGGAGATGATCAATCACACGCACGAGGAAGAGAGTGCAACGGCAGCAGACGTTGATAATAAATTGCCAAGTCCTGCCGGTGGTGGTGCGCTTGATAGAAGGTAATAACGTTCAACGATTCCCCTCCGTTTGGTCCTCCGTGGTAAATGTAAAGCGCATTCCATGGCCTCTGGATGCAGAATGTGATTTTTCCTTTTTTTTTGGGAGAGAAATTGGTAGTACGACGACCAGATCGTGATGCGACAGCGAGATGCAACTTAGATAAGGAACACGAAAAGGATTGCCAGTCAGGCTGGGTTTCTCACCACTGTGGGGTCTCTGTCTCTCTCACCAGCCATCCTGTCCGGTGGCCTTCACTGGAAGGAACCCATCCGGAGCGGAGTGGAAAACTGGTTTCCAATTCGTCGACCAGCCCATTTTTTTTTCGGGATCCTCTGCGGTAGTGTTGCCAGATTTAGTGAATGCAGTTCGGACGCCCAGGTTTGCCATTTTTGCATTGCATCACATGACATACGTGGAACTTCGAACTAGAGTGATAAAAAGTGAAGTCATTTCACTATCCTTACTTTTGTTATAACTGGTATAACAGCACGTCAAAATCTAAGAGGAAGAGGACTTTGACTTTAAATGATCTTTATTTCTTGTATTTGTATGGTTTACATGTATTACTTATCAAGTGACACAGATGCGTCTTTTCAACTTTAGTTCTTTTGAATTTCAATTATTATTAATTACAGTTCCTAGTCCTATCAGGCCTGTTTTAAAAATGACCACCACTATTTACAACTACAACTAACCTACAACTACTATATACACCTAATCTACTAAATACAAATTGCTTATCAAAGCATGTTCTGATAAATTACATTTTTGTGCAAATTTAGTCTTAATTTCGTTGAATCTATTGAATCTATTTTGGCAATGCCTGTCTCTTCGTGTAAATTTGTTATTCTAGTGTCGAAAGGACGATCAAGTACCATCCTCAGCACTCTATTCTGAGCGACCTGAATTTTGTTCCTGTGAGTCTTCGCACATAATTCCCACACCGGAGCTGCGTAGAAGATCGCTATGACTTAGATACATCTTTGTTACTTCGGATGTCATTCATGACCCGTACTAGCTGGTGATTGGTGGAGTGCCCCTTCCTGAACCCGAACTGTTCCGGTAGGCAGTGATGGCATAATCCTCACTCAAATGATTTTGTTTCGCTCTCAAGGGCTCCCAATATCACGCATGATATTGGAACAAAATATCAAGCATGATATTGTTTTTACAAGCTCCTTTGATATTGCGAGACAATTCAGAACATGTAAAATTGCAGCCACGAGTTGACTTACCACAAAAATGATTCCTTTGCACATCGTTTTCTTAGAAAGAGAAAGCATAGTTTGCTATCTTTCTTTACGCTTCACAGATGGCAGACACGAAGTTACTGCTGCCAGCAGTGATGGAAGTTTCGTTTCGTTTTCGGATGTACAGCAAAAATCTTGAAGCTCAAACTCAACACAGTTTGGTGAGAATTGTAGCCGGGGAGTTTTGTTAGCATGATATCATAGCAACCGTATCACAGCTTGTAATATCATCGGCTGTTGTTTGCGTGTTGAGTTTTTGGTTTACGATACTCAAATGAGATTATGCACATTGGTGAGATTAGATCTTTTGATATTTTCACAACACTGCCGGTAGGACAATGTTGTTTTCCTCGACAAACTTGAGCAAACGATTGAGAATGAGTTTCTCGAACAATTTGCTCAGCGTTGAAAGGAGGCTGATTGGTGTGTAGCTTGAAGGCAATGTTGGATCCTTTCCGGGTTTGCGGATTGGTATGATTTTTGCTAACTTCCAGATGCTTGGAAAGTAGTGTAGTTCCAAGCATCTATTGAAGATAGCGGTTAGAAGAGACTGCACTTTTATGCTGAGTCTCTTCAAGATCAAGTTGAATATACCATCTGAGTTCGTTGAAGGCTACCGGCTTGGACAAGCCGGTATTTACCAGGAACAGGTCTAGCGTCGATGGGTTGCCCGCCGGTGAGATGAATGTTAGCTCATTCGAATACCAAACGGAGTACAGCACATGCTGAGAGTGGTCGAACAGCAGATGACCGTTCTGGTTCTGCCTGTAGTTCCGCCAGACCTCATGGTGGGCATTCAGATCTCCTCCAAATACGAAGCGGGAACCGGTACGGGTGATGGTGGATAGGTCCTTCTTGAATTTAGCCGCTAGTCCACTGCTGGCGGCACACTGTCGAGGGCAGTAGACGGCGATGAACTGGACGTTTCCAGTCGACGACTCCACCTCCACACCAAGGGCCTCGATGATAGAGGTGCGGATATGGGACAGAGTGTGGTATTTTATTCCTTTTTTGACGACGACCACAACACGCAACACGCAAGCCGAATAATGTTGTAGTCAGGCAACCAGAAACTGTCGCCGAACTTAAGGTGAGTCTCGGTAAGGAGCCCCACGTCGATGCTGTGCTTGTGGAGGAAGTCGGCAAGCTCAATCTCTTTTGCTTTTATAAGGCAAGCATTCCAGGTGATGATAGTTAGCGCTTTAGACGCCATACTGGGTGATGAACTTACCGAGGACTTGAATCTGCTCGGGCTTATTGCGGCACTTACGAAGAGCACCGGTAATGTAGACGAAGATTTCCATCAGTTCATCTGCTGAGAACAGATCGGGGTTGTTCTTTAGCGTTGGTGGTTGTCTCCAGAATCCAGGGGGAGGGAGTGGAGATCTATGTCCAAAAGAATCACCGGAAGCTTCTTGAAGGGCGCAAATTTGCTTGCCTTTGCTGGGGAGCTCGAAGAGGCGGGAAATCCTCCGTCCTGAATGCTGGGGTTTTGTCCTTCTTGCGTCCTGGTTGATTGTTGCTTGACGCCTGCTTTCGGATGCGTTTGAAGTCCTCACGTTTGGAGCAGTGTCTGTCTGAACCTTGATGTGCACCACCACAGTTGGCGCATTTTAACGCCACGGCTCCATCCACAGGGCAGTCAGAAGTGGCGTGTTCGTGAACGCAGTTGCTGCAGCGTGGCTTGAAGTTGCAGTTGCGAGTGCCGTGTCCGAAGTTCAGACATCGTTGGCACTGGGTCACATCGCGATGGCCTCCACGGTACGGCTCCCATCGTACGATGATGGAGTACATTGAGCGAATAGCATGCAGCGCATTCAGCGTCACCGTTCTCTTCTGGAAGTGTACCAGGGAAAGACAAGCCGGGTACGTCTTCACGTTTTCGTCTCTCCTAGTCATCCGAAAGGCAGCGATTGGGGCCAGCTTGTACCTCTTGATTTCAGCTTCGATCATCTTGAGGTCGACGTTTGGTAGACCCCTGATGACTACCTTGAAGGGCTTCTCACCGGGGATGTCATGCGTGAAGAATTCCGCCTTGGAATCCGTCAGATATTTAACGGCCACCTCGTGCTCCGCTTTCGTATGGAGCATCACCTTGGTGCCGATCCTGCCGAGCTTAAACTCAGCTGCAAATCCCAGCAATGAGAGATCGCCAATCAGCGTGTTGAGTGGTACTTGCTTCACCACCAGTGGAGGAAGCTTGACTTCGTCGTCGTCGCCGAAATCACCGATGTCGCTGGCGTTCGTCGCGGTAACATCGTCGCGTCCGCTCGTAACATCGGACTGTCCTTAGTTCTTTTTCCTCTTTTTTGTCCGCTTCACCGGGACTGGGTTGGTATTCCCAACATCGGTGGGAAGAGTAGCGTACCTATTTGAGGTAGGTACCGAGCTACCCTCATCACTGTTCTTCTTCTCCGCTTGGTCACGAAGTCTACTCCGGGAGTGCTGTCTTTTCATCACGCGATGCGACCGACAGTATATCTGCGAACGTTTGTTACAAACTATAGGTTTATCGAACAACTTGACAGAGCGAGCAAAGACCGAACTGTACTGCTTGACGTTCAAGCAGAGAATGCACTGCTAAACATGTCTGGTAACTCTATATATGCATTTAGATTAACATTCGAAGTGCCTCTTTTTTTACATATTCTGCACAAAACATACTTTCTGCCCCACCTCATTCATAAAAATCGACGGAAAATTCTGTGAAGGGTGAGCTATTTTGTGTGCACAATGTGTCAAAAAGGAGGGACTTCGAATATTAATCTAAATGCATATATAGAGGTACCAAACATGTGACATGTTTTGCATTGCATCCAGACATCATCAGACTAACTCGACGCCTTGAGAAGGACATCATCGCTGGCGACCTGAACACCAAACACCAGGCTTAAGGCAACAGTCGACGCAACCAAAACGGCACAATCCTGAACGGAGACCTGCAAGAGGCTCACTACACCATTGTAGTATATTCCCCAAATCTAGCAACACGGTCATTACCCGAGTGCTGCGATGCATATTTGATAAAACAAACAAATCAAGTATCAACGTATCATGAGGGCAAAGCACTGTGGTCGCCAACTGCACATATGCTTTGTAAGCAGTTGCGATATTTATTTGTACTTTGTTCTGATTGGACTTCCAGGCTGCTCCAAGAAGGTCACCATGCATGCGTGTACAATTGGATAGCTGAATAAATTCACTCTTGTTTTAGCCTTTTCCAAGGGAACATTTAATTGAGGGAACAGTCCCCTTCAACGAGTTACGTTACATGGCTATACCGTGAACAGTTTAAAGACATCTGGTGCTGTGAAGTTGAAAATTCACATTTTGCTAAAAACACACACGACAGATTCTGTCCGGAATAACTTTCGCTGCGAAGTTTATCGCAGTAAGAAATAAGTGCCTTAAATTGAATATGAAAGCGCTCAAATAAGTGCCTTAAAGTGAATATGAAAGCGCTCATAGTAATTCTAATGACCGTGTTGCTAGATTTGGGGAATATACTACACCATAATAGCGCCGGACTCTCCCACCCGCTTGAGACGGTCTGGCGTACACTCAACTATCGACATCTTCGTCAGCAACATGGGAGACAACATCTCGCAACCTGTGACCCGCCAGGAGCTGAGTTCGGACCACTATCCGGTGGTTGCCGATGTGGGCTCATCCGTCAACCGATTCCAAGCTTCCCGACGCAACTACCATCGCGTCAGCTGGGATCAGTTCCAACACTGTGTCGACTACGGTGTCCTTCCGGAGACGCCCGAAAACGTTGACCGGTATCTACGTTCCATCGAGGAGGCGATATCCCGGGCAGGGCTCTACAATTTCGAAGCTCTAAAATGAACTCGTGTTTTGTTTCTCTCATACATACGTGTTCGACGCTTCATTTCTATAACGCCTAGCTAGACTATCAGCAAGAAACGAAAATAAAAAAGAAGGACGCTTGGAAGGAAAGGCTGGCTGTGGAACTTCTCGTCGTTGCTTTGCTCATCGCTTTCAATGTAAATAACGTCGATTTTCTAGTTAAACGAACTTCATTATGGCTTTCAATCCCCTTTCACGAACACTCTATCGCCGCTCTTTCAATTTGTTTAAAATGCGTTATGTCCCGTTTTCGATCATTTTTTTAGATAAATATATGGATGGAAGATAAATTAGAAATATGACGTGTAATCTTCAAGTGTTTTGACGTGAGAAATGCTTTAAATGTGTTATTTCATTTTCCGTCATATACGTCATGAAACCTCTGTTGATGTGTTTCATGAAAGAGAAAACTATCAAAGTCGAGCGCTCTTTCGCTCATCCATTTCGACGAAGCTTGAAAGGAAGACCAATGGAGCGACGGGAGAAAGAGAGACAAGCGATTGAACATTTGTTTGTGCACGCCGACTGAGGTTCTAGAATGCTGCGAAGCTGTTCGACTTTAACAGAAAAAGAAAGCCAGCAGTCTCTTCGTCGCATCGATTTGGTCGATTGAAGCTGATATTGTGACGCCCTGATCCCGGGCCAGGGAACAACACGTGCTAGTATCCAGACAGGTGAGCAATAATCTGAACCTTGATAGAATTACCAAAAATCTCATTAGACTCCGTAACTCCATTCGAAGGCAATACCAGCGTTCTGGCTTCAACCATTGTAATCGCCTAGCAAAAACTATCCAAGCTAGGATGGTGGACCTCAGAAATCAGAACTTTGCTAACAGGATCCGCTCTCTCCCAGATTGTGCAAAACCCTTTTGGAAACTAATCAAAATCCTTAAAATTAAGCCAACACCCATTCCATCACTAACCCCACTCGATAGTCCCGACGACCCAGTGGTTCATCTGATAACTCCTGAAGAGAAGGCTACCGCGATAGTTCAACACTTCGTGAGCTCCCATAATCTTGGACAAAATATCATCAGCCCTCACGAAGCTGAGGTAGCTGAAAACGCAACCAACCTCGATCAGATTCCCAATATGTTTTCCGAGGAATCCGAGATTACGGCTGACGAACTGTTGGCCTATATCAAATCATCTAAAAACACGAAGGGCCCAGGTTTCGACAGCATCCTGAATCTGGAACTCTGGTTGTAGACATCTGGCACGGATTTTTAATCTGTGCCTCCGACTCGGCTACGTCCCCTCGTGCTGGAAGTCAGCTAAAGTCATACCCATCCGGAAACCTGGGAAGGATCCGTCCTTTCCTTCAAGTTATCGACCAATCAGCCTTCTCTCAAAACTGTTCGAAAGAGCAGTCTACCACCGGCTCCTAACATCTGCCGAAGAAAACAACTTGTTACTCGAGGAACAGCTTGGTTTTCGGAAAGGTTGTTCGACCGTCCACCAGCTGACTCGAGTAACAAACATTCTCAGACAGAACAAGTATGTTTGGAAAACATCTGCCATGGCGTTGTTGGACGTTGAAAAAGTATTCGACAATGTCTGACATGATGGCCTGGTGTTCAAATTGCAGCACTACGGTCTTCCAATCTTCCTAGTGAAGATAATTAACAACTATCTATCGAACAGGAAGTTCCGAGTCTCTCTGAATGGCATCACATCGGATGCCTTTAACATCGGTGCAATCTATTCACCTCCATATTCCGGCTCTCCCTGATGGTGGATCGTTGTCTTTGTTCGTAGACGACACATCCATCGTCTACAAGGGTAGGGTTATCGGAGCTCTGACTGAACACACTTCAGAGAGGCCTGGACGTCCTGTCTGAAGACTTCAACAGCTGGAAGATCTGTATCAACGCGGCAAAGACCCAGGTCATCATCTTTCCACACTCTAAATCTCCCAGACTCCGTCGGTGAATAATACGATCTGCCTGAACGGCACAGTGGTGGAATGGTTGAAA